CTTCTTGAAGGACGCCTCGGCGCCAAACACACCTAATAACCCCCAGGGTTCTTCCGTGGAAATTTCCTTCAACACTGAGCACAATAGCTTTCCCGTCCGGCACACCCTTCTTAAGGTAAGCCCATTTCCTAGCAAGCTTGACAGCAGTCTCGACGGCCTCGGCACCGGTATTCATCGGGAGAACACTTTCGTATGAGAACATTTCTGTAATCTGCTGCGCGAACCTCCCAAAGACAGAATTGTAGAAGGCACGAGATGACAGAGTGAGTTTCTGTGCCTGCTCTACTAGAGTAGCAACTATCTTTGGGTGACAATGACCCTAAAAATTTGACCATGTTCCAGTCAGCCCATCCCCCCAATGCATCGTCTTTTTGCGGGTGACAAACCTGGTTGACGGCCCTAATAAAGGTGTTAACGAGAATGCCTATCGAATACAAAGGAGCGCCTACGAGTATGCGGACAACATGTCAATGTATTCTTTGCCTTCCGGGTCCCATACCCTGTAGTCAGCAATGAGCTAAAAGGAACCATCCGAATGGCACAAGTCCCTCACTTTGCCCCTTGCGCGGAGTCGAATACTACCGGTAACGGATGATAACTATAAGAATTAAGCGTTGGCATCAGTATGTATTCGTAACGCTTGGATGAATGAAGCCATCATCGGTTTTAGCGCTGAGCGACTCAAATGCGATTTTGACCCCAGGTCTTTCGAAAAAGGCGCTTATTGGCTTGGGAAACACAGAAAACTTACTTGTGAGCGCCGTATTCATGCTCCATACTGATAAGCGATGCTGAAGTCACTTGGCCATTGGCAGTGCTGGATGTGTGAACACCGTTCCCATTGTGCTGCTTCAAGACCTTGTGGGTCGCCAGTTGATTGAAGTGTCCGTTATCGACAGTTGGAGACATTTTTGAGATGCAAGTACGTGTTTGTGGGAACAGAAATTGAGCAACAAAAGTGCTTGAGATAGCGGGAGAGTAGGAAGAAGGAGCCCGACGACGTGTGAGTACTTGAGTCGTCTCATTTTGGTCCGCCCGAGACAGGACCCCGGTCGGTCCCTATGATCAAGTAGCCTGACACTTCCGCCCTTGAAGGTTGCGCCTATTCCGTGATGGCATATACTCCATCGGAGTCCATCCCCGTCGGTAGTGCTTCATTGGAGAACCTTCCAGGCGGAGCCTCCGATGCTCCGAATAGACTTTGTTGTGGATCTCATGGTATTCTACATACTCCATGCGAGGACGAGTGCCACAATTCCAAACATCAAGTTGAGGCCATCAGCTCGGGCATTGAAAATAGCGTGTCCGAATTGGTTGTCAGGGTGGCGAGTCACATCATGACATTCAATAAACTTTTGACTTATTGGTTCCCACTCACGTCGACAACCCCTGACTACACTCATTAGACTGTCACCCCATCCCTTCCGTATCTCCCCGAAAGATTACCTGACTTACATAAAGTCGTAGACTCGGGCTAATCGGGGACGCTCAGGTGCGCTACCTTGGTGTTTTGACCCCCATTTTTGTAAGCATTCAAATTTCAAGGTATCCTGTCATTCTAATAAGTCCGAATCGCTTTGAATCAAATGATAAGCGCTAGCAGTAGAGCCAGTCGACGTGGCAAAGCCAGCTACCTCCAACACTCTTATCCTCTACGCATAGTAAGTTAGTCATATCTCATCAGATCTCGGAGCAGAAACATTTCGGCTCGGCTTCATTCCTCGGCCAATTGACATACTCCCCATACGTCCCTGCCAAGTCGACTCATCATATTTTACCCGTAATGAGATAATAGGGGGTCTGATCCAGATGCGCACGATCGTACCTTGAAATCAACAATATCGATAGCATAGTGCCCAGCTTGAGCGTAATCGGCATCGCAAAAGCAAGAAGATAGCTGGCTACAAGACTACCTAATGTCGACGCAGACGGGAATAGTCATGCGTGTATCCATTAGACCACCGGAAGAAGGACTAGTCCACTTTCAGACTAGAGGACTCGGAGCCTACCGTGCTCTCTCTCGTGACTAGCTATCGCTGGCAACGACAAATTGGCCAATGCCCCCTGCTCTCATTCGTCAAAGTCATGTTCCAAGAGAACAGGAACCAGTAAGCATTGATATGTAATGTACAACAAAAAGATGTTTCTGCATAAAGGATGTCCAAAAATCCGCATATCCAATCGAGAAACCAACGTCCGTCCTGGTCAAAGCCTAGTTTTGTAAATGTGGTATCATAGCGTGTAATGCGTGCGTGCGTAAAATCTGCAGAAAAAATGGGCGTATATCATTGCAAGTCAGAAGGCCACTCTCTCCTTCTCCTCCATCTCCCTTCCTTGTCAAATCGTGGGTTTGTGGGAAAGTTCATTCCGTCATCGAGCCCATGACCGACTGGCACTGGAGAACCGTATAGCTTGTCAGAAATAGCAAAATGCGGGATTACATCATGATGAAAACTCACGGAACCACCACCACACGTTCTTGCCCATGACGCTTTCCCAGTTCGCTCGACGGCTTCCTAGCCACCAGAGATTACCCTCCTTGCCGATCCTGCCCCATTCCTTATCCCAACGTCGCCGCGTTCGTTTCTTAGCTCTGGGTATTCAGTTCAGAGCGCGCAACGAGTAAGCAGGAAATGACCAAAAAATCATAATCATGTAAAACGGTAAACAGACACAGATAAATTACGCACCCATATTGATACCACCGATGCATATGCGCCAGATTATCCTGTTCGCGCTCCTGCATCGACCTGAATCCAAGGGATTCCACAGTCGTTTGGTTCAACATGATCAGTTGCAGTTGCGTCAGGAACATGAGGAAACAGAAAAGGCCGAAGAGAGCTGTTCTGTGGAAACATGTCAGCGACGATGCCGAGACTATCCGACAGTGACAGACTGAGCCAGTAAAACAATATATTGTGGGTTGAGTGCGGGAGCCGAGGGTCTCGTCCGTGACCTGATGTTCAGACCCAAGACAGTTGCGAACATCCAAAAGGAAAGTATCGACGCCCACTGCACGAAATTAACAAAAAACTCCGATGGAATATATCAGCTAATGACTGGGAGTTGACAGTCCTGTCAAGTAATACCTTGTGATTGTAAGCACCGACGCAATGCCCGACCCCTATTTCCGATGTAATTAGCTATCAAATATATATAAAATAACTCTTACTGACATGGACAGTGATGGTCATACTTTAGAACGCACTAGTGCCGCAAAACGTGAGAATACGTCGTCATGAACAAATCGTTCCACTTACAGTGCCACAAGCTCGGCAATGATGTGTACGAGGAGGCTTGATGATTCTGTCCCTATTGCAGAAACGATACTCAGGGGTAAGGACAGGCGTCGTCGACGGCCGTCGTGCAAACATGGCTGAAGACGCATCCAAGTTGGGGTCGCCGAAGTTCTCGTGGGGTGGGTGTGGTGCAGGACCCGAGACGTGCACAGATTCATGATTGGCGGGTACTAGTACGTCCACGATGCGTGCTTCGCCAGGGGTAGACGTGCCTTGATAATGAAGAGTCGGATGATAAACCCTGTCTTGCTTCGTTGCTGCTGGAACAGCGGGGTGTGTCACAGGTACATTATTCCCTGAATTTGATAAGGCCGAGCCATGATTAGATACGTCGACTGCAGGGGACATAAGCTCGAAAGACATTCCACGAGTGTCATTGAAAGTAGCGGGCTGCTGCGCATGTGCTGGTGGCTGCCCAGGCCGCTCAAGCTCTGTCTTTTCTATAAACTTGAGAAGAAGCAATCGGTGAAGATGTATAACGAAGGACTGAACACTGCATACGTCTGCTGGATACCCTGGCGATGTGATCACGACCTGAGGAAACGCAAAAAGGTTTAACGAAGCCAGTACCATCGAGATCTGCCAACCAACCGCGAAATACGACCATAAAGTCACCAAGAGAAGGAAGCTGAATATTACCAGAAACACGACTAGAACATACACTCAGCGCTGACTCGGATGGGATGCAAGGATGTACATACTGCCGGTAGTCAGACTTCCCAATGCATTCTCATTCTTTACAATCATATCCTTACAGAATATACCGACGTAAACATAGCTTGTATATGCAATCAGAGCTAATGTCAGTCCAACGGCGAACTTGAGAGTAATCCAGGGCTGGGGCTTGTTCGCTCGTCGGTTGCGTGCTCGTGTGCGTGCCTCTTCTACGACACCGCAACATGTTCGGTCCGAGCTTGACATGAAAGGATGTGATCAAACCGGTGGAGCAGAATCTGGGTGCACTGGCTGGCCCTTGCGCAGTTGTGGAACGTTCGAACAAGGAATATAGGATGACGTAATCTTTAGCGTGCTTCAACTTCATCAGTTTTGACTCACTTACTTGCATGAGCTCATTGTTTCATCTGGGACGCTCAGGTTCAAGTTGGAGTGTACACGCTACATACACGCACCACGTCACGCCACCAATATGACGCGCCGTCTATTTTCAAACCGCCATTCGTATATTCATTTTTCCATCAATCCACCATGCACAGATGCTCTAAAGCTTAGGAAAGCGATTCAGGATGGTCTAGCAGAGACTTTTGGCATCACAGCCTCTGGCACCTATCTTGACATCCTCTGGATTGCTGAAAGTGGCTCAGAGATCGTCATACGCCTCTCCAAAGAGTCAGTCACAAGCATAACATTTATTTCTCTCGGTGACAGAATTTGACATCAGGGATGCCCCGAAACTGATGGCGGCCGTGGTGATAACACCTGTCTCTCCAAGACTTTCGACAGTCAAACAAACAAATTTCCTCCCGTCCTTGACACCATCAAAAAGAGGCTTACATGATCCCTATCAAATTCTCAAGTCCTGCGGCTGTTGCTCACAATGAATCGAGTTTTCCCTGTTCGTTGCAAAGCGCGTCAATGGACCGATGCAACGGTACACCTCTTTCTTTCCCATCGGTATATACGGCGTACTTTGCACGGGGAATGATATTCTACAATTCACGAAGTCATCTCGCTCGTTAATGGTCATGTCGTTTCTGGGGTCGGGACTTTCCCTGTTGCCCTTGCCCAAGCCACGAAATCGTCTATCGCTGACGGCCATGCAGCTGCGAAATATGTATGTCAGCATTGATATTCAAGGACCGAATGACCATTCCCACCCTCGGCATCGTGTGTCAAAAATTGGGAATCAATGGAGCGGATGAAATCGAACAGCTGTTGTTGATCAGACGAAGCCAGGATTGTCTCATCTGAGCTCTCACCATCATCCACGTGTCTTTGCTCACACCCTTACCCCCTTTCTCCGTCAAAAACTGGAACCACCATTGCGTGTGCTCATCTGTCCATCCGAAACTTCCCTCGCCGTCCATATCTATATCTTCACCTGTCAAGTCGTGTTTTAGCGCACCGCCTGTCAGACCTGTTGGAAGTAATAGATTCCAGAAAGCCAGTGCTGTGTCGATCGCTAAAATAACAATAATTTTCTCTGCTGTTTAGCGGTGTGATCCGTGCGTACCGAGACTCCGCTGCCCTTCCGTCCGAGCAAAACTGAACGTGTGATCGTATACCTTGTGGAAATAGGTGGAGTCAGATCCCAACTTTGCACGCAGCCGCGTCAGAGTATCCTTCATGCCGTCAACTGTATCACACCTGCGCAGTAAAATTAGTTCGGCTGTCGACTGAACGTTCGCGTGCTGACCCGAGTCGTGACCATCCTTCTACCCAACCTTTCTTGTTCCACTCTCCGACTCTCGGAGATTTCAGTTCGTAAGCTACCGCGAGTAGAACGACATTCTCTGGATCTACTTTAAGATCCTGACACAGCTGAATCGTTCCGTCTATTGAAATTTCATCTCCATTGGGATCTGTACAGACGTGGGTATTCAGCGATGGGTCTGGTGTAGGCAAGACTCGCCTTTGTATTTCTCGAAGAGGGCATTTAATTTGCTAGTGGAAGCCACGGTTGTTCTACCTCCGCCCTCTTGATAATAAGCGTCAATTGCCGCGTCAAGCCGTCTCTGGTGCTTGTCAAGATACCGCTTTGCATCTTTCTGACTGCGGAATCGAAGAAGATCAATAACTCGGGGACCCAAAACTCGATCGATCGACTCACGATGCGCCTGTGATGGAGCAGAAGTCGGATAGAAGAGCATCCTTGGACGTTTTAGACTAGCCAAGGGATATGATCAGAATGACTGGTATATCATGGTAATATGAATTGATCCAGCATGGTCGAACACTGACCATCGTAAAGTGTGCGTCGCGGTGCTATCGATCGTGCCGTATTCGAAACTTGTGGTGTTGGAGATAAGCGGGTATTTCCGGGCCGCTGAGTTTTTGACACGAGACCTGGGCTGGCGGTACTCTCGATGGTCATATTCAGTCAGGGATTAGTTTACGACTTCCATTTGATCGGAGGTGGGGTGAACACGCGCGCTCAGGTAGTACCTCCTAACTGTAGAAGTACCCTCCCCGCATTGCACAGCATTCGCCAGCTCAGTACCAAGGCAGCCTCATGACAGCCATTTTATCTCCCGGATTCACTCAAGTCTTCACCTCCATTAGTCTGTGACTTTTGTGAAATGATATCGTCGCCTTGCATCGTGGCTGATTCCCAGCGCTTATCTTGGCGGATCATGTATTAAATGAATCATTGGGGCTATGTCATCATTCCTTCCATTCCCCCACGAGCCGTCGTCTTCTTTATCGATCGACGGACATGTGTTGGGGTGTCTCCTCGCCTCTTTTATTTCGGTCACCCCCACAATCCCGTTTCGAACGGGCACGGAATATTCTCAAGAAACATCCTGAATCGTGAGAATAACACAGGCACGTGCACCCTAGTGGCGAGGCCTGGGCATCTTGCACCATCGGGAATCGGTCCGACAGCGGGGAACGTGAATATCCAAATACAGCATACCATGATCTCATTCCAGATCCAGAACCGAGATCTAAACGGACGAGATTAATAGAAGTCATGCGCATGCCCTTGGCTTTGTTCCTAACGGATCCCCGAGGGAAGTCTCGGATATTTGCCACAAGTGTGAAACTCGGTTCAGGGCGTTCTCCGGATCTCTCTCCATCGTCCGGTGCCTGCTTGCATTATGTATATCTGTACGTATGTGTATACTTTCCGGCAATCATCGCAATCCGAGACGTATACCTGCGTATATACCCAGTCTAAGAAGCCTACTTGACATCGGGAAGCGCCGGATTTGGCTCGTAAATAATTACAGGACAGATAGACCGTGGGTTTGCGAAAAAACCTCGCCGATAATAGAACCGTTATACTTCGTATAACCTCTTGGTATGTGGTGACTATGGTATGGTGGGTACGACGACGTTCACTCGGCGCAAGGAGTCCAATCTTATAATAGGTCATGAATCGGATCAACCGAAGAACCTATGTCACGATCTGACTCATTCGTTAGCTTTACTTGGTGTGGTCATCTCAAACACTCACCCATCAATTTCGAACAACGATTCGCTTAGTATGCTTTCCTGCTCGCCGGCGATCTGCATATGGTGTCGGCCTCCGCCACGCATCATCAGAGTCTTCTCGGTAATCCTCTGTAGCAGGAATTTCTACTTTTGCACCAGGAATGGGATGTACGTCATGAGGTGGACTACGTAAACCGACGCCACCATGATGCGATTGCGAGTGGAGATTGAGAGGTGGCTGAGTTGGTTGGCTGTGAGCTGCCACGGGAAACATGGATGGTGGCTGCGTGGGTGTCGGCATTGAACGGGAAGACCGGGCTTGCTTTGCATGATGGGGATACGGTCCCATCGGCGAATCAATCGGAGAGTGATGCTGAGGGTGTGGTGGAAGCTGCGGCCAAGAGCGCGGTACACCACTTTGTGCTGGCTCCCTATTTTTGGTGCTATCCTCTTGTTGTGGTACATCGATTTCTACCCGAACTCGGACGATCTCCCTTCCAGCTTGTGCGAAGAACGCGCGTTCCTGTCGTTGGAAGAATCCACTGGTAGGCCCAGGTCTCATTTCTGCAAAGTTTGCTGGTGGTGCAGGAGGGAAAAGGGCCATAAGTTCATGACCCGTAGGTGGTGCAGGGTACTTTCGGGGCGTAGAACTACCATCCTGAGTTAGGTTGACATCTGGATGCATATCAGAAGTCAAAGTGTTGGATGTTCAAGTTGAACTTACCACGAAGTGAACTTGGAGAGAGAGGACGCCTTGGTGCACCTGATTGTGGTGAAGTATGAATTATTGATGATTTGTGGAGAGGACTATGATCTCCTGCTGTTGTTGTGGAGGCGCTTGATGGTGGGGAGGGGGAGTGCTCTGCGACGGGACGAAGATGGAAAGAAGACATTGTGTGGACAGGTGAGATGAAGGGAAAATGGAAGAAGAAGGATCTTATATAGGTTGACGAACCGAAGAGATAATAGTGGCCGTAATTGATCGTCCTCTCCAACTTGAAGGAAGAAGGAACGCGGAGGAACTTAATTGGAAGAATCAAGTCCATCCCCAGCGAAACTTTCAATATTTGATTCCGGGTACGATGTAATATAAATTCTAAACGGGTACAAAAACGTCACTAGCACGATATTTCATTAAAATTTTCTCTTTTAAAAGTAATCTTAGATTGATGATATCTTGATGTATGTAATTCCGGACCATACAACGTCGAAGTTTACCTCGTTTTTTATACCTGAAATGGTACCCGCCCTACGTAGACTTTATCTGGCAAGTACGGTATCACTAGCTGGTATCATGTCCCTCTACATTTAATTTATTCCTTTTTTTCTTTCACCCCATGGCCAAAAATTACAATGAATTACCCCCCTAGAACACTAATGATCGTGCGAAAATAGGAATCTTCTATGATGCTGGGAATCACTTTTCGCAGCTATTTATTATTCCAATTTCACGAAAACAACTCGTTTCAACCCGACATGTCGATTTCCTCTCTCCGAATGACACAAAAGGCAGACGTCCCGATCCTTCTCATGCCCGTATCGCATATCTCCCGCATCTTCGAAAAAAAAAACGGTGTCCACGAGGGTCCACCATATGTATACAAGTGCCTGGACCCCTCTTCGATACCATGTTACAACCACATCCCTGGGTTATTGATCGGCGGTTCATTGCGTGCCTCAAGTCTTCACGTCTTATTGGATATCCGGACCTATGAGAACTCAATGTGGTCGGTCGAGTCTGATAACCGCACCGTCCAAAAATGAACTTTTTCAGAAAATAATCTCACCGTAGATACCGAAGCCCTGCTATCCTTTACGTCCGCAGGCAGATTGCTTTCCAATCAGCTCCCAGGATTGTCTTTCTCAACGCTGTGTTCGCAAGCCCTCGGGTGCACATCGTCACAGCTCCTGCAGGCACCCTGTCCAACCGGGCTACTACTACTAGCTGCATCAAAAGTCACGATCACCGGGCTTACAACCATGACGATGGGCTTTGATGCGGACTCGCCGTCGTAAGCAGGGTTTGTGGCTATTAGACAGATGCATACCAGATGGGAACAGGTGGCGCTGGGAACCGTATCCGAAATGCATGCGGACTGAGGCGCGAGCGCAGTTGTAACGTAGTCAGGATGGTGATAATTACCCCTTCACGAGCGTCAAACCTCAGCGAGCACTGAGTTGGAAAGTTTGGGCTTCTTCGCATGTTGCCTTTTCCTAATGCCTGCGCATGGGGGGAATAAGTCGTTATCTGTGGAGCCCTACCGTCAGATATAGGTCTATGACACTCAGTAGCAGGCGTTTCATCCAGATGAACGCGAGAGTCTACATCCTCATGAAGAGTCAGCGTCTTTATCAAGGGCTTCCTTAATGAGCGGCTCTGAGTTAAAGTATACCGTGAAATTGAAAACCTCCCAAGGGTCATTGCGGGCTAGTTGAAAGTTCTAACTTCTCCATCATGCGTCACTTATCGTCAGGCCGTCGCCTTCTCAATAGCGAGTTCATGGAGTCACCTCCTAAGGAAGGTTCAAGATCGACTCTAGGGTCCAGGGTGCCGATGTGCCGAGGTCATTCTCAGTTCCACTAAGAGCTAGCTTCTCTAGTTCGCTGGCACGCTTCTAAGTTCTAAGTTTGAGGGAGGCAGCATTGAGTTGGTCCGATCCTCAGGACCTTACGTAAGATTTTCTCAAGGAACCAAAGCTTACCAAAACCAAAGGCCTCTGACAAACCAAACCAACCACCATGGTCGAGACTCTGAAAACGCTTAGCACAGGGACTTTGAATCTGCGTTTCATGCAAAATGCTCGGAGAGCACAACAATTATCCGGTGTCGATGTCGAGCTCGAGAAAGCGCACGTTAAAGATGAGGCCGAATGGGAAGTAGCGCCTGATATTCGTAAAGCTTGGGGATTGGCGGATGGGTCCAACTCAGATTCGTGAGTTGCGCGTAGTTGGAATTTTGTGTCCTTATGGCTTCAGCGAACTTCTTTGCAATGTATAGAAATGACGATCTATATGAGAGGTCTTATGTGCCTTTCCTCTTTCCTTCTGTTTCTGAGACGCCTGGTCCTGGGGAAGACAGCGGCACTTCATCGTCACCGACGTCTCTTGGCGGTATGAAACCGCAAGGCCGTCGTAAATTCAATAAAAACGGAGAAGAGGTGAGCACATATCCGCGGTACCCCGGGGTCATATCCCCTTAAGCAATGTTCATTCAATTGTCCCTTGTCATTAGTCATTCAAACCTCCAGAAGTGCGGTCCGCAGCTACAACTGTAGCAGACGTCCAACCTGACGAAAAGCGGAAAACCAAGATCAAATCGATATCCAGCTCAACTCACAATAACACTTCCGCCAAGCCATTAAAGAAGCTCAAGGAACCGGCGAGTCGGGTGATATACGACAACAGGAGCGTTGGCGTCGACCTTCGCTCTTCCTTATCTTCAAACCGCACATCACCTGCATCAGTACCGAAGTCGACCGTTACCGGTGACAGTAAAGCGTTCATGAAGCCCGCCGGCGTAGATGATCCTTCTATCACCCCTGCGAGTAGGGATGCGCCCTCAGCTTCAGCTTCTGCCTCTTTCGCACGAAAGGGGAAGAGAAGACGGGAACAGGATAACGCAGAAGTCGAAACCGCAGGACTGAAGAAGAAAACATTATCATTTGTCGAGTGATCGGACCGTTGGGAGCACGTGTATGTCATGATCGACCCCTTGGCACTCGTGCATGCTTTCTATTGCTGCCACTCCTGGACGCAATTACTCCGCATGAACTCCCGGTCTATGTGGCTATCTACGCGCACACGCATAGGTCATCATTACCATATGTTTGCTCGGAACACCGATGTCCATCAGCACCATATTTGCTCGATGTTCCACGCTTTCAATACTAGAATTCGGAATCTGGTTATTGTCATGCCTACTTATAAAAAAATCTTATCGCATGCGAATTGCATTGCTGGAGTGGTGCCCTACTGGACGATGGACAATCAGGTGGGAGACTCGAGAGAGGAAATTTTCATATGTGAGATGGGCTATCTGATGAGATTCGACGTGCTACATGTTGCGGAATCACATGGACCAGTGCCTTGTGTGTTTGAGAAATACGGTTCAAATCCCTCGCTCGATTCCTGAGAAAGGTAAGATGTGAGAAGCACTGCGCTGCGCTTAGCTCCCCTGCGGGCTATCCAGGAGCGGTGAACTGTTTCACTCATGAGTTCCGTTGCTGGTGTTTCGTTTTTGGATTTTAATAGCTGGTGCCACACTCCGCGGCGGAACGGTATGGCAGAAAGTGTCAGTCTATTAGTTGCTTCCGGTGGTCGCCGCATGCACGATGCAGCAAGTACGACCGGGCGACTTCCAGCAGGGTGGTGCCAGGAAACAGGCGCGCCTAATAATATTACCAGGATGATTATCATAAAGTATTGAATACCTTTGGGGGTAGACTCAAACTCAGAAATAGCGGCGGCCGCTCGCAAAAGGCAAGTGAAACGGATTTCCTACGTGTAAACGCTCGTATGGCACGATGCTTGGGGAGCGTTGAATTGAGTCACAGTAACACCGCTCGATATACATAAGCCCAGCTTCTATTCCTTCCGCCGACGTCGGTGCCGGGACATCATCGATGATCCACCTTATGGCATTCCCGGAACCGGAACCTTGTCACAATCTACTATCTTGAGCCTACGTCCCGTTTCATATCTGAATGTGGTATAGCCTATCTGGCCTCATGCTCATCATTTGGCTCAGGGCGCGTTATATATGCTTTTTTGCTCTGGCCTACATAAAACTCTGGCCAGCATCATGCATCAAGGACTGCTTTCAAAAATAGGCAAACAGCATCAATATCAACACCTCCTTTCGTACTTATGGAAATGAGATGCAGATGTGGCGATGTGACAGATTGAGATAGTGATAATCCTGTAATGGTATGATGCCTCATGTACGCTAGGATGGCACTGATAATGTAGTGCGGTTAGCTTCTCGGGTATAGTGATATCGACCGTACGAAGGCGGACTCGTCGTCATCTTCGCTTCCAACTCGCCCCGCTCATTGACTCCGGCACCACGTCCAGAACTCCCCGTCCCCATCCCCAATTCACTCGACGCAGAAAAATAAGCAGAGGCAGTCCCAAGCGAGTTATTCTTGCTCAGCGTAGACGCCATAGAAGGCGCCCATCCAATAGACGAACGCAGAGACGCGGGTGCATGCATCTCGGAAACCGAACCCCTCGAGAAGCGCGAGCGACCCATCGACAACCCAGCTTCTTGAGACCCGAATGACTGGATGGTAGCCATCCGTCGTACGAAACCGCCCATTATGGGTATCAGTTCGTCTTCTTCGTCACCCGATTCTATAGTCGTTAGCGACATCGCAGGTTCGATGGTGTCTGCCCGCGCTATATCTGCCGCGGATGATCGGGGTTGTTGGGTAGGAATGCTATTATCATTACCAGCAGCCGGGTTGTTGTAAATTTCCAGGTAGGGGTATGCTGGTTCTGAGGCCCCGTATCCGTAAGAATAAACAGAGTCAGAGTCACGGCTGCCTGCATCCGAGTCCATCGCCAATGGAGAATCAGTCTTATTCCTGCGATCCCCCATCGCACACGCACCCTGACCTTCAGCAACGCCCACGGACTGATCTAATTCCGAGGCACACGGACCAAGACCAGTACCGTCGGCAAACACTTCCGTGCACTCCTCCCAGGCACCGGGTGTTGTATTCGTATTCAGCAAGATATGTTCACTCGGCATAGTAGTACGGTTCTGCCGGCGCAGCGTCCGGGGTGTGAGTGTGTCGGAAAGATTATTGTGCCTTTGACGGTCTTTTATTGATAGCCGCAGATTTGTCCAATTTCGCCATATGCGGTTGGAAGCTGGGGGTGCGGGGTTGGAAGATTGTGTGTGTATGGCTTGGGTGCTTGTGTGGGAGTGGGGGGAGGAAGAAAACGAGGGGGAAGGCGCGAGGGTGATGCTTGAATTAGTTAGTGCTATTGTCGAGTCAGACCTTCCTAGTCCAGCTTGAGTCTGAGTCTGTATTAACTTGTTGAAATTGAAGTGTGTTCCTGATGGCGACGGGTCGGGAGTGGATACAGGTGAGTCCATAGTGGACACGGGTGAGTTTACAACACCCTCCGAGGTCATTAATGGCGGGTAGTAGTACGTTTCTCTGGTATATCTCGAAGGATGCCTCGCTTCGGAATACGCTCTCAGGAAGTAAAGGTACAACAGCTGCATGAAAAGAACGCTCGTCAATCAGAAACACCATAGAAACTTGAACACGAGACTTACGATAATGATCAACGTAGCAATAACTCTTAAAGATGCAACAATTATCCAAGCTGCAAAACTCGCAGTGCGACATTGCCTTGCTGTCGAATCCCCAGCGATGGCAACTGTCGTTGACCACGAAACATCCATATTCCACCCACATCTATCCACAGGCCTCCATATCAAAATAAGGACAAGATTCACGATCGACATCGCGATTATCAATACAACAAAACATCCTCTTGAGATCATCCTCGCAGCACGAACGAACCTATCTCCGCCTGCTGGAAGAAGCGGCATAAACAGCGTCACGACCACTCCAGCGACACTGACACCAGAAATAACGCAAAGCACGAGCGCAAGCGTGGGTATGTGCACATCGCTCGCAAGAGCCGTTTGAAATGCGAGGGAATAGCGAATCGTGCAGTATATAGCCCATATACCTGTGAAACCAAAAGATCATTAACATTGGTTCGAGACACACAGACCGAGGATGGGGTATACCAAGAACAACTTCAAAAACCCCACACATCCACTTTAAGCGACGAAGTTTTGCTTTTATGAACCGGTCTTGGAGGCTTTTACATTCTGCTGCTGTTATCGGGTCTCCTGTGAGGTCAAGACCAAGGTCCCAATGTCGTGGACCGTCTGGATGGAGTGGTTGGCGTGAGAGCAGGTCGTGAAAGGTTGGGGAGTTGTAGGTCGAGGATGTAGGGTTATGCGATTGTTCTTGGGCTATCGTGAGCGAAAGAGTACGTGTATGTGTCATGGGGGTGGGGGTAGGCGTAGCATTGACGAGTCGTTTGTCTGATGTGAAAAGTGCATTGTGCAGATCGAGCGCAGTCATTGATGCGTACGTGAAAGTCGTGGTTCAACAAGAATCAAACCCAAAAATTTCGTCCAAGTCATATCAACGAAAACAAACAAGGTTGGCTTCGACGCATGGCTTAGTTGAATTAAAGCGATTCTTGGAGACGCTAAATTAATTGGCCCATTGAGCCTGGCTTTGAGCCTTCCATCAGGGTCTGGACCATTGATTGTGACACAAGCGACTTACCTAAATTACTTTTACTTATCTGAACTTTCTGCTTCAAGGCCGACCACGTTGTCACTAAAGCTGGTCGGTTCACTTCGCGCGACGGGCAGTAGAGGACCGTGTCACTAACTGATTCAGGTTAACGTTGTAGTTCAAGTTCAAAAACGTGCCTTTACTAGTGCTTCCATCTGCTTCTTCAAAATTGGGTTCGTCAAATGCAATCACAATAACGTTACTTACTCACTCATTTTTGTTCGTGTTAACCAAATATCAGATAAGCCTGCCAGGCGTCCGACTCGGAAATCATTAGCTATAGTGTGGTGTGGTAAAAGCAAATTGAACCCTTCAAGCTGATCCCATTCCGACTATATGTACCGTTACAACTCCCGAACGGTTCACATCGTTCGACTGGTGGTCAAAGCTACTAACTGGTATTCGGGTTTGGGTCGGTCATTCGCTTAGGAATCCCTGCAATCCGTGTGGATCATCCAAAAAAACCGTTCCATTTTTCGTCTCACCCGAAGCGCAAAAATCGCTATCAAGTTTTGTTATTCGGGTTGGGAGTACAAGGAGCTGGCGGACCGATGACCCTTCCAATAGTCGAGGATGTCTTGTTTAAAGCCTTTGTAAAGGCAAGGCTCGTTGACGAAACTGGCGCTTGGATAGTTGTGGAGAAACGTGGAAGGACAGATCGAGGAGTTCAAGTTAACGCTGCTGGCCAGGCAGTTTCGTTATGGGTTCGAAGTGCTCTACCCGAACATCTTCCAAAGACATCATTATCATCGTCCGAGGAGGAACTATCTACGGAGAACGTCCCCCGAACACCTAACACCAGCCGTCCACGAAACACGAGCTCCTACTAACTTGAACAATCCGCATCCTAGCCTGGTCACCCATCATGCATCATGCATCATCCCTCATTTTTCTCTGCTTCAACTGCCAAAAACACAGACACTACACATACTTCTTTTGACATCCCTCCTGGAATCAGCTGCAGATCGCCTTGTGAGCGAGCATGACCTCCAAAATTTGTGCAAGCCAGATCCAGGAAACAAGATCGATCCAATTTCTGCATAGTCTGATGGCGACAAACGAGTATACGTGTTCGATCTTATAGGATCTGCTTTCCTATACCATCAAGTTCGATCCTCACTTCCAGGTAGCACGTTCCTTGACTGTCTGTTCCACTGCAGCCCCTCTGATGCCCATGATAAGTCACCGTCATCCCTCCTCGACTAGGCTCGAAGCCTTTTGAAATGGCGCGAACAAAGTGAAGACACCGAGTTACAAGGGCACAGCCCTGCATTTGTTGAAGTTCTGTTTGCGAAGTGAAAACTTGTACGTTTTTTCTTTTTCTGTTTGTCAGTTTAACTCCACCTAATGTTATACAGAGAAACGCTTGCGCGAGATAGCAACGGAAAAGACCGTGGCCCTCGAAGAATTCTACTGCAAATGTACAAGACTCTCCATCCGCACATACGCACATATTAGTAACAGTAGATACAGTCTACCATAGGGCTCCGCCCCAACGGGCAATAAACAAGGATCAAAAAAAAACTGTGTATACCCTGCTACCCTGCTGTCCGCGCGTCGCTGATATTCTCGTAAGTGTCAATTCTGGGATTGAATGAATGAAGGCTAAAACAACACTGCACTGGTAGTAGGAATTCAGAATTCTGGAGCATGACTTCACCGACTGCTAATACGAAAGAGACATCAGCAATATTAATGACACCTCACCAGAAATTCAAAGGACACACCGAAACGGTGCGAGGCGTCATACACCTGCCAGGTGGACAGCGAATCATCACTTGTTCAGAAGACGGCTCGCTGCGGGTATGGAACTTGAAGAGCGGGAAACAGATAGGAGAAGACTGGAGAGACGGAGAAGGTGGAGTGCGCTGTATAGTGTTGTCTCCGGACGGGAAGAAAGTGGTTAGCGGGAGTGAGGACGGCGGAGTGAGGTTGTGGGACATCGACACATGCAAAGTCATCGCTAAATGGATGGGGCACACAAATTTAGTGTGGTCTGTCTGCTGGAACCCAGATGGTCGAAGAGTGTTAAGCGGATCACGCGACGGGACTGCAAGACAATGGGACGTAGAAAGCGGAGAGACAATCCTGGAGCCAATCGAGACTGGGCACACCTACGTGTGGGCAGTGGTCTATTCACCAGACATGTCCATGATTGCGACTGGTGGATATGACGGGCCCCGGCGGGCTGGAGAACCCACTGAGTGCTCCATCAAAATCTGGAACACAAAGACAGGCGAGCTTGTCGCAACTCTCAAAGGACATACATGGGTAGTGACTTGCCTGGTTGGAAAAACTCTTATCTCCGGGTCATGTGATGACTCTATTAGGACATGGAATACCAAAACATGGAAGCAAGTACTGGAAGCGCACACCGACTGGGTCTATGCCATTGCAATATCACCTAATGACCGCATCCTCGCAAGCGCATCATTCGACCATACAGTGCTATTGTGGAACCTCGACGATGGACAACTCATCATCTCGCCCCTACAGCATTCAAATTATGTGGATTGCATGTCATTTTCCGTGGATGGAAAAATACTAACCACTGGCTGCCACGATGAAAACGCGTACACATGGGATGTTGCTGCGATTGTTAAAGAAGCTGACCTCGATGACCTACATTCAGATCCAAAGGTGAAGGGATATGGATGTCTCATTGTATATATTCTCACAACTGAATGCGCTCTGCCAGGCCAACAAGTTGGCACTCCATGTACGTGACATCTTCATTAAAAGATCTTGTTGTTCTCACCATACATGCTCTAGGCTAGTACTATACGACCTCCAGTGCAACAGCGTCCGCCTAATGATCGGATACCCCAAGGTTTCTTTGATGGAATCCCACAAGATCGTTCCCATGTATGTCATCACTATCAATTTGGTTTTGTTTTCCTGACCTTCATGTTCTCAGTCCTCCGCACGAAACCATCACCACTCCTCAGTACCGCCAGGTAGCACGTTTCTTGGTCGTTTATTCCACCGCAACCGCAACTCCTCCAGTGCTCATACTACATCACCGTCCTCTCCTCTCGACTGGGTTCGAAACCTTGTGAAACAGCGTCGGCGAAGCGGTGAAGGTACCGAGTTGCAAGGGCGCAGCCCTGCTGTTGACGTTCCGTATGCAAAGGACAAACATGTATGTTCTCTCTCTCTCTCTCTCTCTCTCTCGGATGTTCACTGGCAACTTCGTCTAATATCACATAGAGAAATGCTTCAGCAGGGGAGGTTGCATTTGCAAAAAAGAAACAGAAACAGAAAACGAAACCATCACACTCGAAGATCTCTACTGCAGGAAGCCCACAGCCTCCCAAGCCTAACATCGCTCAACCATCTTCGCAACCACAGACAGCTGACTCTTCGTTGTCCACCACGCCTGCTGCCGGTGATGCTACCGCAGCTACAGTTTCAACAACAGCATCACGCCCTCACGCAACGATCAGAGACGTTGGACTCTGGACTCGCTTCTGGCTCTTCATTGGTTGTATTTCTCCTGAATATACGGACGGTAATCATTAGACCTTCTCATCCTCCACGAGTCGTATGTCTTTACATCTCTCTATGGACTCTCATTGATGTACTTGACCCACTTTCTCTGATGCATTTCGACCCGTCCTTTATGTACGATACCGATACCAAATGCCTCGCCATCTTCGTCTGCAATGTATATTACCCATACGTTTTTTTGCTGCTGAAAACCCGCCGTTGTAACTTGTGACGAGCGTGTATAAAATTCTAGCTCCAAGATAGTGTGAATTAATGATCTAGAATCCATCTCCCCGTCAAGTCAGACCAGGCTTGATCAACGCCGCTACCAGAGCAAGAATTGGTCAGTGCTATCGATCTGCATCACAATTAGCGTGATACTCAGAGCGACTCGTCGAAACTGACTGTCGGAAAAAGTTACATAGGTCCGGTCCGGAAAGGTTCAGGTCCGAACCGAAGTTCTGAACCGGACTCCGGCAGCACTATGCATACAACAACCCTCCGGGCACCCCTGGACCCGTTATTTCGCGTATCTTGCACCACAAACCCAGTCCGACGGCTTTCTCACAACTTCTTGGAACCTACTGCCTCGAGAGCAATGTCTTCATTCACAACAGAATCTGGCGCCAAAACATCACGGACAACATGAGAATCAAATGAATTGACGTTATCGCTTGCTTCCAAACGACAAATGTCGAGGGCACAAAGAATACTGCGACCATCAGCATCATCGATAGAATCAAATAGATTCGTCTACACAATAGTCTTGGTGACAAGAATCACTCGCATCTTTCTCGATGTCTCTCGCGTGGGGGACTGATTATGGCCAGTAAAGACGCCACAAACGGCATCACGGATTTCATCATATGAGGGTGGTGGCAAAGTTTGCAACTGAGGCGAGTTTTGCGAACAAATGGCAACAATCCCTTGATTATAAAAAATGGGTGATATGAGACGCACGAGCACGCGAAATTAACATGAGATCATACAGAGAGGCACTCTTCAGTGCACAATATACAGCATCCGGCAACCGCTCATGGCCGTAATATTGAAAGTTGGCTGACAAGTTGAGCGGCTGGCGTGGTTGTCTGTATAGCAACTATGCACAACAAATGATGTGAGTCTTGTCATCGTGCAAATCGTGAGGAACTGGAGATCATCCTGGTCCACAGCAACATCAGATTGAAAGTCTCATCGATGCGCCACAGAATTTTGTTTGCGAGTAGCAACGCGTGTCATATCGGAAAGCATCACACAGGACGAGGCCTTCACAAGAGCGCACGTCTGTGGACTTGATTGCGAAAAGGGTTCAGGAAGATATTCTGCAGCGAAATGGTGTCGCACGTGCGACAGGTGCTTGAAAACGAAAATAAGTCACCACAGTGTTCATAACACATATGGACGCAGATCAGATCAGGGACATAATTGCGCATATCAGTTGCCTTGACAGACAGAGAATGAGACCAAGCCAAATCATCGAAATGAGCACGAGTCATCATAGGAAAATTATCAATCAAATGACGTATAGTAGGAGCAGACACCGTCAAGGATACTCCAGCTGGATCCTGCTGAGCAGCGGTGAACCGCGCTCTGGATATTCCATGATACTCAAACAACCTCCAGAGCAGGAATGAGGAGACAACAGACACACCATCATCAGCAATATGGTAATCTGTGATGACAAGAGAAGCACGAGGAACAAAGTCATGCACGCACAGTGGACGACGAAGACGGTTCAGAGAAGAAGCCCCTCAACGAAAGGGGGCAAGGGAAAACAATAAGAAGCGCGAGAAATTATGGACCGAAACAAGCAAACCGAGCGGACTGCGAGCGGGCCAGTAGCGATCATTGGACAAGACACCCTATCACCAGTCATTTGCTGATCTGTTGAAACAAGAGAGACAGGAGAAATAAGAGCAAACGGAGAAGCCGCAGCAGACGACGAAGATGTAGCCATGTGGTAGCAAGCGACCAGCACCACCGAAACAGGAGACGAAGAGAGAAATAAGAGGGCGCGAGAAAATATGAACATATCGAGACTCTCCAACAGGAGACAGACAAAAAAATCGTTATACCTGTACCCTAGACGGGTCCAGGAACTCCGCCCATTCTGCTCGATGATCTTTGGAACTGGATCAAAGAAGGCATATGCCGGTGAGTTCCAATCTTTCATGAGCTGCTCTGTTCATTTTCATTGAGTTTATGTTGTGTTTTAGGTTTCTAAACTTACTTAGCTCATCTTTGGCACTTTCTTCTTCAACCTCCGAGTCGGTCAGCACAAGTTCAACACTATCATTAGTTGGTTCATCACTGAGCAAGGTGTCTTCCTGCTCTGTGTGGACAACGGCTCCTCGACTTGGTGCAGCCAGTGATGACGCCGTCACAGAATTATCTGCCAGAAATGTTACGGTAACTTTCTTGGGCACCCTCTCCTCACTCAGGCTGGTGAGAGTGTCTCCAGTGGGTAGGCTAGCTTTGGCTTTTTTTGGCTGTGTCTTCACGCTATCACCGAGTCTGTCGGCCTCAGAGATCTTGGGTACTCGTTTGGAAGTATTAGGCTCATCCATGGACACAGTGAGAGTTGGGTGAATTATATCAATATGGGCTCATAAAATATTGATGGGCCTTGCCCAAATGTACACTAGAGTTTTCATTGACATGTGTACTACCTCTGAACTTTTGTTGACAGACAGCTACTAGGCCAAGTCTTTCGAAACCCGTGCCAAGGGTACGGGTACACCAGCGCTAGACCCGTACCCGTACCCCAGGGAAACCTGCACCCCATGCGGGTTACCCTGACCCGTGCATTTTGCCTAGCTTATGGTGCGTTATATTGGTGTTCAGCATCTCCACCAATCGCCTGATAAGCATTGGTAAGTGTCCGTAACGCGCACAAGTTAGCGTTCATTTCAGTCGTTTTGCAGATGACCCTATGATACTTGGCGCTTCAGGTGCACAGCCTATGTTGTGTATACACTGTGAAGCGAACACGATGCTATAACAACGTACAAGGAAGGAGTGAATTCAACTGTGACTTTCCACCAAAGCCATCATTCCCTGCTGCCTGCCCATCGCTGCTTAAGAGACCTCCTCGTAAGTGATGATTTTGAAATCTGTCAAATGAAAGCTGAGATGGCGCTGCACTCCGTAGTTGAAATTCTGGAGTATGGCTTCACTGACTGCTAAACCGAAAGAGACATTAGCAATAAAACCCCACCAGGAATTCAAAGGACACACCGAATGGGTGCGAGGCGTCATACACCTGTCAGGTGGACAGCAAATCATCACTTGTTCAGATGATGGCTCGCTGCGAGTATGGAACCTGGAGAGCGGGAAACAGATAGGAGAAGACTGGAGAGACGGAGAAGGTGCAGTGTACTGTATAGCGTTGTCTCTGGACGGGAAGAAAGTGGCTAGCGGGAGTGAGGACGGCGGAGTGAGGTTGTGGGACATCGACACATGCAAAGTCATCGCTAAATGGATGGGGCATACAGGATCTATGTTATCTGTCTGCTGGAATCGGGATGGTCTGAGAGTGTTAAGCGGATCTGTCAATGGCACTCCGAGGCAATGGGACGTGGAAAGCGGAGAGAGAATCCTCGAGCCAATCGAGACTGGGCACACCGTTGTGTGGGCAGCGGTCTATTCACCAGACGTGTCCACGTGGATTGCGACTGGTGGATATGATGGGCCCCGGACTGAATTACTTGAACACATCGAGTGCTCCATCAAAATCTGGGACACAAAGACAGGCAAGCTGGTCGCAACTCTCAAAGGACATACATGGACAGTGTCGTGCCTGGCTTGGACCAAGGACGGGAAAACTCTGATCTCCGGGTCATCCGATCACTCGATTAGGACATGGAATACCAAAACATGGAAGCAATCCGCACTACTGGAAGCGCACACCAGCTGGGTCTTTGCCATTGCAATATCACCAAATGACCGCATCCTCGCAAGTGCATCAGGCGACAGGACAGTGCTATTGTGGAACCTCGACAATGGACAACTCATCGGTCCGCCTCTACGGCATGCAGAACCAGCTTACTCCGTATCGTTTTCGGAAGATGGAAAGATACTAGCCACTGGCTGCCGCGACAAAAACGCGTACATATGGAATGTTGCTGCGATTGTCAAAGAAGTCGGCCTTGACAACTTACTTTCGGATTCAAAGGTGAGTCAATATGAATGCCCGTCGCATATTCTCACAACTGAATGCGCTCTGCCAGGCCAACAAGTCGGCACTCCATGTATGTGACACCTTCATTAAAAGATCTTGTTGTTCTCACTATATATGCTCTAGGCTAGTGCTACACAACCTCCGATTCAGCGACGTCCGCCTGCTTATCAGGTACCCCAAGGTTTTTTCGACGGAGTTCCACCAAATCGTTCCCATGTATGTCATCACGATTCACTATCAATTCGATTTTATTCTCCTGACCTCTGGCATGTTCTCAGTCCTCTGCACGAAGCCGCTCCACCTCCTCAGCATCACCAGGCAGCACACTTCTCGGCCGTTTATTCCACCGCAACCGCAGCCCCTCTAGTGCTCGTGCTACATCACTATCCTCTCCTCTCGACTGGGCTCGAAACATTTTAAAACGACGCAGACGAAGACGTGAAGGCATTGGGTTTCAAGGACTCAGTATCGCAGTTGTCGAGGTCCCATGTGCGCCGGGAAAACGTGTATGTTCCTTCTCTTCCTTGATCATCATACACCACTTAATTTCACGTAGAGAAATGCTTGCGCGAGGGAGAAGCGGAAAAAACTATTTCCTCCGAAGATCCCTACCGCAAGTAGCTCACAGCCTCCAAAGCCCAATGTCACCCAGTCATCTTCGCAACAACAGGCTGCGATCTCTGGTTCGTCCTCCACACCTCCCGTTGGCGATACTACTGGCATAGCCACGACCTCAACAACCTCGCGCCCAGATGCAACGATAAGACGGGCTGGACTTTGGACTCGCTTCTGGCTCTTTCTCGGCTGTCTCTCTCCTGAATACACCAATGGTCATTATTAAATCTTCTCATCCTTCACGAGTCGTATGCCTTTATATCTCGGTGGATTCTTGTTGATGTGCTTTACCTACTCTCTATGATATATTTTTATGCACGATATTGATACCATACAACTTGTCACCTCTGTCTGCAATATACGCTACCTATTCTTTTCTGCAGCTCGAAACTTGCCGTTGCAATTCGTGACGAACGTGTATAAAATCCTAGCTGCAACATGACGTCAACAATGAACACTAACAATTTAATACGGGAGTATTAGAGCAAAAGACCTTAAGGATGCCCATCAAGTCAGGCTCAATGGATGCCGGTACCTACCAGAGTATCGATGATCGAGGTTCGTTATCGCCCTGAATCGCAAGTAGCTTGATACCAGTCATCGAAACCGGATACCGAAGATTCGGGAGTTTATAATATTATATAAGTGTCGATGCAGATCAGAGCACTTACTTAGTGACCCGTTGGGCTAGATAAAACACTACAGTGGCATTATCACTAACGAACGATCATCTGATATCAGATTTCATTAGCAGTACAATGGTGTTGAAACAAAATCAAACAAATGCCATTTCATTCCACTTCGAGTACAACCCCTGCATCGCCCCTGCCGCACGCACTATGACCTCACAACCCCACTCAACTCCTCCCATTCCCTACTCGTCAATCCAAAATCCAAGTTCTCCTCTCCTTGCGTCGTAGTAAGCTTTCCCAAGAACCCCCAGAGACTGCGTTTCTGTACAGCTGAAAAAGCGCCATTGCAGCTCGTCGCGAATGTATACAAAATCCTAGTTCCGTCCCAATATCAACAACCCAAAACGGGAGCGGAAAGAAGGAAAAGTGCGATTGGGATCGCACTCACCTAACAATATTCTCCTGGAATTCGTCATCTTTGTCTATCTCGCCATCAACACCGAATGGGACAGGTTCGATCAAGGCTGATATCAACGCATCGAGCAAAGACCCCCCTTGCTCTCCGTCCTCCTGAATTGCAGCGAGCGTTAGAGCAGACGTAGAGACGGACGATGGATCAGAGAGCATCGAAGCATGTGAATTTGCGTGGATTGGGGGTGGTGCGTTTTCTGAGGTGGGGAGGCTTATGTTTGGTTGGAGGTTAGCCTGGGAAGAAGGGGAGGAGGTTGGGAGGAGGAGTGTGTTTAGCAGGAATGTCGTTTTTCTGCGAACACGAATTTCTGAGTCTGTCAGGTGTGAGTGTCAATCGTCATGAAAGGAAGATAGGGGTTGTGAACGATACACACCTTCCAAGCACATCCTCAACGCGCTCCATCCATCCGCCACACTCATCTTTTTAACAGCAGCAGAATTCAGTTTCAGGAGCCCAGAAAGCGCGTAGAGTGCTCGTGAGCGGGTCTCAGCGGAGTTGGACGAGGGGGAGAGGGATTTGAGGAGTGCGGGGAGAGGGTCGAGGTCGAAGTACTGTTATCAAATAGAACATGAACACAAAGTACTTTAGTTAGGGTAAATTGAATTTTGATTATGAACCGGATGCCTGTTAAGAGGAGGGTGCACTGAAAAAGGAGGATGACTTACGGCGAGTTGAGCAGCTGGATTGTTTTGCAGCGCGGTTCCGATTATCCACAGGGTTTGCATTCTGAGTGCGTCGCTCGTAGTGGATGCTAGTAGGAGGTTGTGTAAGGGTTGCCATATCCCTAGTTTCGTTAGGTCTGTGTCATACCATTTGTTAGATCGGATCAATCAATCCACGGGAGTATAATCACCATTCGCATTATCAATATTCTGAACTAGCTACATTCTATCGTAAGCAACCACACACGAGGTTCGATAATCAAACGTGATGGAACGCACCATCTCGAGATCATCAAGCGCTTGTAATCTATCATCTTCAGCCTGCCTTTCATCGAGGCCTACTGTAAGAGCTTCTTTCATGAGTTGAGCATCTGGTTTACCGAGAATGTGATCGATGATTCCAGGATCGAGTTTATTGGTGGGTGGTGGGGCTTCATTTGGACTGGAGTTTTCTACACCCCATCGGAGGAGGGATTGCATGGTTGGTTGAGATAGATGCGATCAAGTTCGGAACGGGCGGCACGATTTAGACTTGTGGCTCCGCGACTGTTTGGGACTGTCGGAGGTTCAAATTCCTCTCTAAAAAGTTTTCAAATTGGACGTGCCCACTATTAAGCAGTGTTCGTCGATGGCGATGGTGTAGACGGTGAGTGCTCCTTCCATTTGTTGTTCACCGGTCTTCGTGATGACTACCAGTACTTTACCACATTCCGAATATACATGTGGACAATGTCATTGATTTCAGCCTTGTCTGACATATCCTTTTCTCTCTATGTTTCGACCATCGACTGATCTCTTGCGCTTCAGGTATGCGTCATGTGTGGTGGATTGCCTATTGTAAGTCTACAGTCCATTTAAAATCGTTGTTGCAAATGTTGTTTTTCTTGGATGAAATCTATTCGATGGGCGGACCGAATGTGGTGTTCTCGTGAAGTCTCCCGGTGTACAATGTGGAGATGGGAGCATTTTCTTGTTGAAATGCATCGAAAGCTGATTCTTTTCATTTTCCTGATTCTACCCATAGAGATTTTGATGCTGATACTGTTTCATCATAGCACCAGCAACGCGACTAGGTTTCGGTGGGAAGCATGGACGAGGCGTGTAGTTGGTTCACCTATCGTAGGCGGCGATTAGTAGTAGCAGTAGATTGTAATGATACCTACAATGGTTATACGAGCTGAGCTGATAGGACACGCGGAGGTTCGCACTGTGCAGGCCCAGCCGTATAAAACATGCAGTAGACTACCTGGTCATTGCCAACCAACTCAATGCATAGAGGAGTTGTACAAACAGTCGCTGCAGTGTTGCCTCACATGGCAAGTCAACGGCTATGGGATCCAGACTCCGAGCCGACAGCGCCCAGAGCGACCAACGCTTATGCTGACCTCGGTTTTGCAAGTATGAGCTCACCAGTCGGTAGTATCATTGCCAGTCCTAGTCCACAGGACAACGACGAAGACGGTGACGACGTTGAGTGGGAGCTTCAAAATAATGGATTGTACATTGGTTCGTTCCCCTGAACATCATGGTGGCGTCGCCATTCTCCAGCTGGTTTTCTTAACCTTTTGTTCTAGGTTCATACTCTCGGATAGTCTTGTTGAATGCTTTGGTTCCAATTTTCGCAATAACGATTTTCGCTGTGCTAGCATTCCTCCCTGACTTGGCTTGGCCCATAGCAGACTTCCCTTCTCCATACCCATCATCTTTCCCCTTCCCATTACCTCAAATTCTCATCTCCAGCGCATTCTTCAGTCTCACTCATCTCCTCCGCATTCCCATATTCTCACTCACTTCCTTCCTACTCCCTTTACAATATGCATCTTTTGCAAGCACATTCATACATGTCCTCATCACAAACGGCCTTCGTCTCGCATCCCTCGTAGTTCTCCAAGTTAGGCACACAATGGACTATCCCATCCCTACTTGCCAGGACCCTGCTTTCCGCACTGTCTGGTGGCTTTCCCTCAACTTTGCAGAGGTGCTTGCTGCCATTATACAGGGATACGAACAACTCGCTCTTTACCGCGATCTCATGGTCCCAGAGGGAAGAGAAACCGAGTTCCTCGAACGTATAAAATCCGGTTCTCTTGACGAATCTGAACCAACACTCGAAAATCCGCATTCCCCACAACAGGAACACGAGACATTCCAAGACGCATTAGAAGACGGAGAAACTCGAAGCGTGGAATCACGCATTGATCGTGGATTAGAAAAGTTGCTTGTGATAAAGATGAGAGATGAGCTTGAGGAGGTTTATGGGCTTCCTGTCATCGTGCGTATACCCCGCGTCTCCAATTCACACCCTAATGATCCCTCACAGAAAATCCCAGTCTTCATATCCTGTCTCCAACGTTTCAACTCCATCTTCCTCTCCATAGGCTTCACTCTCCTCCTCAGCGCAGCATACCTCCGCTCCCCACTCTCCATCCCCCTCTCAGACATATCAATCCAACTGTCATCCGTCCCTGTAACTGACCAACTCAAAGATTTCCTTCACGCGACCTCACAAATGCATTCCTACGACAGCTCGCATATCCCATTCATCGTGACTACCCCCCTCTTCCTCCTCCTCCACACGAGCCTCGCAGTGCTGCACACACCAACCCTCCTGCCACGTGTAGGTGTGCATACTGCTGCCTATGTCGGTGTCTTGGTCGGCCTCATGTCCTTTTTCGCGGGCTTGGCTGTTTGGGGGGCATTGTCTTAGGTTTGCGCGGGCTAGTACCCACGTTTCCTATCTTGTGTTTGATTGATACGTCCTGTTTGAGGGCGTGTATATACACGAGGACGGAGATCTTTGTTTAGTTGCTGTGTTGCATGCTATGTTGTATGGTATTTATTACCAATGTCGACGCGAGTCATCTGCTTCTGTGCCACTACGTCCATGCGCTTGACCTAAGAATGAAACGTTACGTTTGGCGAGCTAGCACTTGCGGGTCTACTGTCTCACTGCCTTTCGTTCAAGGTCAAAGTTTTAACACTATTAACCTTTGATAACCCTCACATACTGATAAGCCGAGGGCCCAGGTAAGTACTTGGCAATTTTTCTCCCGTGATCTTTCAAGCGTTTTAAACTTCTTCTATTTCGGGCTCGGCGACGTGGAATGTGGTCTTTCTGGCTTGTGATGGGTACTACGAATACCGTCACGCCGCGCATGTTTTGACGTGCAAGACCTGGAGAGGGAGGATTGGGAAGTCTTTGGTATGTGCACTCTCGTCGAGCTCACTAATTGCACGACTACTCTTCACGGACACAGATGCAACCTCTCCGACTCCAACTTCGAGACCCGACTTCGGCAGAGTTCTTCCCCGCAACTCGTCAGACAGTCCACTCTCTGTCACGATCTGCTTCTTCCACTTGCGGTCTCTAGTTCCTCTGGAAAAAAGGAATAATTGAATGGAGTCGAATAGGAATCCTGTCTCCCTTCGCGCCATCGCACGAGGGATAGCAATCCCCCCTCATTATTGGCCAGTGAAACATCTGTGCGATCATAATCAAAATCTTCTTCCCGTTTTTGCTACTCTTTTGTTTACTTTTCTAGTTTTGAGCTATTCTCAATTTCTTACACATTATTGATGTACGGAATGACATCGTCCATTACAACAGCAAATGGTGCTAGAATCTGCTTCATACACCACTTCAGAGTGACGCTGATGAATGTCAGACAAAAGTGGAATGGTCCACCAGATAGATCCTGTGTACCATGTACATCATACAATCGACCTCAGAAAGCACCGATCCCTGCATTATGTTACAAGTATAAGAAGTAAACGGGAGGAGCCTCTAGTGTTATATCTGATCAATAAACTCCAGGAATAAGCCGGTATTTCACTTTCTTTGCCCAATTCTCCCATTCTTCTCCCAGAGCATGCTGCAACATCTGGTCTTCCTCGGCAGGTCGGCTGATGGAAACCCAAGCGGCTAATGTGAGAAATACGAAAAAGCTAGTCATTGCTAACACTTTCATGAAAGGCACTTGTAATATCCCAGACTGCCTCATCCACGATCCTTGACTTCCGTACATGACGGCGATCCCGGTGCTTTGGAAAAGGAGACCAGTGTAGCTCGGGTGGCGGACCACCGAGTACGGCCCGCTTGTCACGAGTTTGTGCTCTTTCCTGACGCTGAGATGGAAGCTCCAAAGCTTTCCTAACGTCGTCATGCAATAAAGCCTCAATATGCCGCCAATCGCGATGGCAATACTTCCGGCAAGGAAAGCAGGGGTGATTGGTGTAGGGTGAAGAATACGTAAAAACCGCACAGCTCCAATGCCGTAAATGTCTTCTGGAACGTGCGAGGGATCTATATGTATAGCCAGGATGCTAGTCACTTCAGCCAACGACGCTGCCCATACACTGATCTATATATTATCGACAGATTAATGAAGACAGCGACCAGAGGTCAGGAGCAACCTACCTGCAGTAACTTCGTACCGCGAAATTTCAAAAACCATTCAAAGAATGATTCGGACGACGAGGGCATCACCTTCTCTTTAGATGACGGTGGTGGAGAAGGATCAGTCACGAAATCTGGATGCCAACGGCTGAAACCAGAATGAAGGGGATCTTGAATAGGCTCATGATGCGCCGCTGTACTTGACCTGGGGGTGTTAATAGGAACTGATCAAGTCGGAGGAACTTTTATAGGGTAATTGCTGCCGTAAGTTACTTGCACATGATACTTACTCTTGTGCGGGACGACGAACTTGAACTTATTAGGTCGTTGAATATCTTCGGTCTTTGCTGTTCTTGATACCCAGTTCCGAATGAAACGGATGAGTAGTTACATTCTTGATCACAACTAGACAGAATATCATGGTTAACTCCGAGCCGTGTTGTTTTGGGTGAGGTGCTCACCGGCCGGAGTGGGTGGCGTTCCGAGAGTAACCTTCCCTGAGCTACACGACAGGTGAGCCGTTCACGAGAATCATGGGACATGGATCCAGTTGATCTAGGGGGGATGTTACAGTCCATACTTACATCCAGAAGTAATTCCATCAGCGTTACCCTTTTTATTGATTCTGAATGTACTTTGCACAATAATGCTGAACGCACTCAAAGAAAGTTTGACACACCCATCATTATGCAGTTCAGCCAGGAGCACTGCCGCCATCGGATTGACGATTAATCACATGGGAGTGTCGGCACATATTGGACCTGTTCTGAGATGTTCCACATAGCATATTGCAAGCTTGAAAAATTATGTACCTCGCGTTGACCATTGTTTTCCAATTGAGACTCCTGGAAGCGAATGCATTAATGAGTTACAGAGTGTTTGGCATATCAAATGTGTTCCCGTAGCGAGCGAACTATTCTGAACCTCCTGCAAAACCTGCCAGTGTGTCACGGTCAATAAATGTGTAACCAATGGGTATTAATAAATACATGTAACGCCAATTGCGCTGTTCGAAGTCCATGTGTTCGAGTGACTGAAACTTAGCCTATGTCCAGCGAATGACAGTCTGATGCCAGTGAGATCCCATCGAGACACAATACCACGTGCCTTCATGTGCTAAGCTTGATTCAGGAAACTGCAAGTCGATGCAAAGTCGATACAACTTGAAATCAAACGACCCCATTGAATGACATACTCTAGGGTAATGTATGTTTTCAGTTACTTGCACATCATGCTTACTCTTACCTGGCGTAGGACGATAAAATTGAACCTATCAGGTCGTTGAATATCTTCGGATCCTGCTGCTCACGCCACCCGGTTCCGAATGAAACGGACGAGTGGTTAACGTTACATGTCTTAGCTAAAACTGGACATCAGTGCTCACCAGGCAAAGTCAGTGACATTAACATTTTCTACACGATAGGCGAGCTGCTCGTGAGAATCATAGGATACCGGATCTAGGAGATGTTCGTACATACACTCCGAAGTAACTCTTATGAATATTGGATCTAATGTTTCAAGGAAATTTTGACAGACCCACCATTATGCGATTCGAACAGAAGTACTGCCGCCACCGGATTGATAATTAATCGTTTCGTCGCATTTAGGACCTGTGGAGTCAATGTTCTGAGTTATTTAACATCGCAGGCTCGAAAAAATGATGCACCTCATTGACTCTCGGAAGTGAATGCATTAACGAGTTGAAGAGTGGTAAGCGCATCAAAGATGATCCTGTAGCGAGCGAACCGTTCTTCATCTCCTTCGAAGCCTGTTAGTGCGTCACGGTCAATAAATGTGTTACCAGTGGGTATCAAGGAGTATATCTAACGCCAATTGCGCTGTTCAAAAGTCACTGTGTTGAGTCGAGCGACTGAAACTTGGCCCATATCCAATGCCAGTAAGATCACATTGGGGGCAACTTCCACGTGACAGGTTCTACATTATTCAGGAAACTACAAGTCAAATATTGAATGGTATACAGTCCGGGTTGACTGAGACTGATGCTGTCCATAGGTTTCAGAATTGGCATCCACGAGATGAGGCTGTTGAACGTTTGAACGTTGAACGGTCGTTACTGCACTGCAGAAGGCATAGATGGGTGAATTGCATGAGATGGTGGTTTCGCCTGAAGGTTGGATTGCTAATTGCCGATTTGGTGTTTTTGATGGGAAGAAGTACTTCATTCTAATTTCTCAATCATCACACGATCGGCTCAAGTGCTCATTAATCATTTCTCACGATCAATGAAAAGACGCACTTTTAGTCTTCAGACACCTCCATTCCATCCCCCAGCCTCAGTAATCAGCGGAGGGCAGGCTTTGGGGTCGATGCGGAGATAGATATGGAGATGAGGAGCCTGGAGGGGATCCATCAGTTGCTTGTTTGCGTGCTTCGGGGCTTGATATACGATATAGATGAGTGCCCTGGCTTGTGTTCCACGCGTGGAATTGACTGACAGATCAGGATGGTGTTCGTGAGCTGTTGATCGGTTGTTCTTGCACAATGGCGGCTGCGCCTGCGCGTAGACAGTAAATATTATGGACCAGAGTGAGTGGGTTGCATAATCGCTTACGTGGTTGCTTCGTCATCAGTGTGCCGCAGACATTTCATTTTGGTGGCACTAGCGGCGAGTTACGTTGTTATCATCGCCCGGTGTTCATTCTATTCACAGATACGTTCTCCCCCTGTCACGGCACAGAATGGAGGGGGAATCCTGTGCTTACAGGCGCATGTGCCAATGGTCGCTGCAGTACAAATCTTCGATACATTGCGTCCGCTGGAATGAGCATGGACTGCGAGGGAAACAAAGGCCAAACCTTTGTAGCAGGAGGCCACGGCTCTATCTATCGAGGACCGACTGCCACAATACAGCCTAATACGTGAGCCAGGACTTCTGCTACCATGCCAGGACCCTTGGCACTCCCGATTCATCAGCCGGTTTCCATATTTCTCAAATCTTTGCTTCTGACTCCTTGACTAGACGGGTGCTTGCATCGTGCGGGGACCATCTACAGCCGCCATTGGGCGTCGTGGTCCTCGCGTGTGCCATCCTCAAACTTGTCGAGACTCGATGTACTGTTCTGGGAGCGGCATCTCCCTGACCAGTGAGACTTGGAACTGAAACTGGTCGTCGTGGAATTATACGTAGCATTCTGCCCTCATGTCGTCGTCGATCTCTCTTCAGTTGTGTTCCCCAGAAACGTGCGGTTGCGCTGCTGTGGTTTGGCGAATTGGCAGCCACCCATAATGAAGAAGGAATGACCATGTCCCTTCTATATGGTCTGGGGAAACAGAGTCATCGAGTCGTGGTGCCCTGTGAGCCGTCCTAGGGGTTAGTGTATGAGGCAAGAATAGAAGGTAGCGTACGGATTTGGTACGGATAGCTGAAAATGTTTGCCTTTTAAGTCCGAACGGTATCTGGGTTGATTCAATATAATCGAGGGTATTACCATTTGGCACCCTCCGGTCTAATTTCCTGGTGCTTGCACCCTGATGTAAAGCTGTTAGTGGGTTCGAAGGGAAATGTGAACGAGTCGTTGTAGGTATATATTATTGTGTGTATAGCAGGGCGTTCACGCGAGGCTAGACAGGTAAGATCTCAGATCTCTTTATTGACGAATGTTTTTACCTAGACAGGTAAGCTACGTTATACGTTAGTACTCGTACTCAAACGTTACATTAGAAGACTCACATCTCAGTATTTGGATTACGAATCTGAGATGTTTCGATGGCGGATGGCTGCTTTTATATGGTGAGTGCGCCAGCTGGCCTTTTTGATGAAAACATATACTAAACGAATGAAAAAGATAGCCGACGTTGACACGTCGTCTGGAATCTCCGTTTGGTGGCGCTCACACCTCGAGCTGCCTTACTCTTCGGCCGTAGTCCCATTTCCTCCTTTCTCGGCCTTTCTGTCCTCGGGTTCATCGGCTCTCAACACTCCCCCTCGAGCGCTATCCAAACACATCATTCCCCTCAACCTCTGCAGTCTGGGCCGTGCCAAGGCCTTGGTAAACGCATCAGCCACGTTGTCCTCGGTGGGGCAATAGTACAGCTTGAAGACGCCACTCTTAACGTGTCCACGGATGAAATGGTACCGTAAGTCGATATGTTTCGTTCTCGACTGGAACTTCCTGTTGGACGCTAATGCTATGGCAGCCTGATTGTCGCAGTGTATGGGGATTGGGAGGTTCGGGGTTTCGTAGAGTTCGGCAATGAGGAGCTGTAGGAAGAGGAGTTCGCGCACCACACTGGTAAGTGCGATATATTCAGCCTCTGCCGTCGACAATGCTATTAACGGCTGCTTCCTCGCACTCCAGGCTATGGGTGTGCTGTTGAACATGACAACGTATCCCGACATCGAGTGTTGGTGCGGCTGGGATGCCCAATCTGCGTCGACGAAGGCTTCTAGGCCAGTGTCTGTGACTCCCAAGGTGAGTTCCATGCTGTCTGTTGCCTTCAAATAACGTAGGGCCCGTTTTGCAGCTTCCCAATGGGGTCTACTGGGGTTCCTCATGAACTGGGACAACGTTGCTACTGTAAATGCGATGTCCGGCCGCGTACTAGTGGCCGTGTACATCAGGGACCCAATGGCCCTTTGGTAAGGTGCATCGCGCATGTCCTGTATCTCAGCGTGAGTCGCGGGAGCTTGGTCTACTGACAGCATTGTCGTAGTCTCCATGGGGGTCTGGATATTCTTGGCGTCGCCCAGGCGAAAATGCTCGACTATAGTCGCGACGTAAGCCTTTTGCGATAGCATGATGGTACGTGCCACCCTATCCCTCGTTACCTTCAGACCTAACAACCATTTTAGCTCTCCCAAGTCACTTATCTCAAAGTGTCGCTGGAGTTCAGACTTGAATCATTGGATATGGGTGAGGTCGTTGGCCGTTACAGCCATGTCGTCTACGGACACTGTTATCACGGTATGTTCTTTGAAGGTGTGTTTATAATAAACGGCTTGGTCGACCTTGGACCTACTGAATCCTAACTTCAGGAACACGCCCGATAATTCTTCGGCCCACTCGAATCCTGCCTGCTTCAGGCCAGGTAAACTCCTCCTCAGCCGCAACACCTTTCCACGCTGGTCCTCCTTCAAGTAGCCGGGCGGGGCATGCATGTATATCTCCTCCTGGATGCTGGCGTACAGGTAAGCACTTTTGATATCTACCTGGTGTATCTCCCAGTTTCGCTGAGCTGCCATCGCTAGGACCATCCGGATTGTTATCATACTGGCTGTGGGGGCGAAGGTGTTGAAGTAGTCGACGCTGAGCTTCTGCCTCTGCCCGTTTGCCATGAGTCGGGCACGCA